CACACACACACACACACACACACACACACACACACGCTCACACACACACACACCCTGCTGGGAGGGTCCCGTCCCAGGGGTGCTCAGAATCCTGCAGCAAGAAGCCCAGACCACGCCCTGCTCTTCCTGGGGAGGGGCTTCTGAGAGGCACTGATGTGGGCCCCCACCTTCCCTCTTCTCTTCCCAGGAATGATCAGAGCCAGTTATTGGAGGAATTATTTGATTAAGGCAAGAAAACAAATGCCTGTAACCTCCTTCTGTCTGTCTTCTGCATACACGTGTGGTTTTCCTTTGTTGGCTCCTGGCGAAGCTCATTATATGCAGAAGGGAAAATAATTTCCCATTGCAAAGCTCGTAATGACGCTCTAATGAATAATTCACTCTGCTTTTACAGGAATGAACCTGTAATGGGCTGCTGCGTGCTGACGGGGAAATAAAGTATCTGGAACAGGACCCACAGTCCTGCCCAGGTGGCTGCAGATCAGTGGTGGCAGGAGGCTTGCCCCTCCATGGAGGGCGGTCAGGTGGCACTTGGGGGCAGAGCAGAGAGTTCAGATGATTGCGCTAACATTTTTTTTAGCAGTGGGACATTGATTTTAAAGAAAAAAATCCTTTAAAGTCAACTCATCCAATCCCAAGGCAAACAGGAGCAGTAACATTTAACTATTGGTTTGAATATAGCATGATTGATGAAGATGGTCATATTTAAAAATCATGATAGGGACCCTCAGCACTGGGGACCAGTAATCCAGTAGCCCCTCATCTGTGATTTCACTCTCTGCAATTTCACTGAACTGTGGTCAACCACAGTCCACATAGACTAAAAGGAAAATTCTGGAAATAAGCAATTCATGTAATTTTAAGTAACTTTTATTACAATGTGTTGTTATTATTGTCCTAATTCATTATGAGTTATTTTTGTTTACTATGCCTAAGTTATAAATTAAACTTTTTCATAGGTGTGTATGTATAAAAAATAATACATACAGGTTGAGTGTGCTTTATTTTAAATGCTTGGGACCAGTGTAAGGTCCTTGCTTAGCATCTAGATGGACATCTTAAGTGACAGCCACTATTTTAAGAAAAATTTCGCTTTCCAGTTCAAGGGTGTTTCTGAGAAAGGCTCACCACCCCTCATACCAACCCCACCCTTAACAGTGGGCATTAGGACCCGCCCAGCTCTAATCCCTGAGCCTCCCCCATATAAGCCCCAAACCCCAAGCCTGTGTTGCCCTCTCCGTCTATGGAGAGAGGGCCTCTATTGGGCAGCTCTGGCAATAAACTCTGGTGTCTATCTCTGCCTGGTCTCCATCTTTCATTTGTCACTGGCCCCTCTCCCGGTCCTTGCTTTCCTTTCAACCAGCATTCAGGGTTTATTCAGATTTTGTAATATTCACATAAACTTTCCTGGCTGACCATCTCTACTCTGCAAACTGCAAACCTAAAATGCACCAAGAAACATTTTGAATGTCATGTCCGTGATCACTATGGACGCTCGGCCTGTGTGGGTTCAGTACTACAGCTGGTTTCAGGTGCCTGCAGACACCTCCCCCAGGGACGGGCAGGGGCACTGTGATAGGGGCACTGGGCTGGAGGCACCATCAGCTCCCCTGACTCCAGGCCACATCCCCAATCTAGATCCATCTATATAGAGGGACAATGACTGACATTCCACAGACCCCGCAGGGCTGCGCAGAGGGTCCCATGGAGACAGGGGTGCACAGCCTGCCCGTGCGTTGCGACATGACCTGAACATAGTACATGCGCCTCACAGAGCCGCCGTCTCCTCATCTGTATTATGGCCATCCTAACAGCCCGGGACAGCCTAGCTGGCCAAGCACTTGGTATTTCCTGGGGCCACTCCAGCCTCACGCCCTCCTCCCAGGCCTGCTCTAGGGATGGACAGGGCTTCCTGTGCCAGGCCCTGCTCTGCCACATCCCTGTACTAGTGCCCCTAGTTGCAGGATCACCCTGGGAGGGGGCCCTTGGTATCACCCCCTTTACAGTGGAGGAAATGAAGGTGCAGAGGAGACGCGTGGATTTGGGCAGCCCCCGTAACTCTTAAGTGACAGCTGGGACTTAAACCAAGCTGGAGCACAGCCTGCAGGACTGTGGCATCAGGAGTTTCCCAGGCCAGATTCTAGCGGAATGTGGAAGAGAGGGAAGAGGCTGGCCAGGCATGTGGCACCAAGCAGCTGGTGCTCCAGGGGAGAACAGTGAAGGCAGATGAGGGTGCAGTGCCAAGGGCTTGGGCAAAGAGCCTGCTGGACACTATGTGTGGTCAGAAGCAGGTCCACTAGATTAATGCAATAAGACAGGGATTAACACATAAGACCCTCTGTAAGCGGATTTATTTCTGTGGCATCTGTCCCCAGGCAAAGCAGGGGATTTAAGCCTCTGACATCTGTGAACCTTCCAAAATCCATTCATGATTTCCCACAGGTGACATATTTCTGGCTCACTAAGGGAATCTGTGATCTGAACAGCAAGGCTCACTGTCCCGGGATGGTGAAAAGGGACCTACCTCCAGGGGCAGGTTCCATGCTATGTACACGTGAGACTTGTAATCATCCATCCAGACCTCAGCCACCCGGAGAGCATTCCTCTTGGTGTAGAAGCCAATGTTGCTGTTGTATGGCTTCTTCTTCCGCTCAATGTGCGCCACCCGGGAGCAAGGCAGGACCTCCATGCTGCCCCCACAGAGCCACACCTGGAGATAAAAACATTTCATTAGGCTGAGAAAGGAATTCTCTGAGGCCTCTGCTCTTCCCCCAGTCCCCAAAGCAATGGTTCACCAATTTAGTATGAGTGAGAAATACATTTTATTATACAAAACTCCTGAGAGTTCAAGATTGATTTGTTATTGCAGCATAGCTTAATCTAACCTGACTAAAATACACAGAAAAGAAGGTTTGGAGAATTCCTACAGACACAATAGTTTGGGATATAAAGTCCAGCTCTGCATAAGAGAGCACCATAAGCCTAAGACTTTTTTTTTTAAGTTCTCACTAACGCACAACTGGCATCCATGAAGGCTTTCTTCACCTAGCTCAGCTGTGCCCTGCCAACCCAGAAAGGAAAATTTAAAGTAAAAAAAAAGGACCCTCTTTATCCATATCAATGCAAGAAGTGTACATTGTGCTGTTAATATGCTCTGTTTTGGAGACCCAAGGGCGTGGATGCCAGGCCTTCTGGAAACATCTCCCAATGCCATCCCAGGCAGAGACCACTGTTGTGCTGGGATGTTCAGACAGAAGGCTGAAAGGATGGCTGCTTTTGAGGGGTTCAAAAGCTCAGTGAAGTGGGACTTATCATCTTCTGCATGGATGCAGTGGGCATCCTAGTTCAAAGGGCCCTGCTCCCTGTGCGAAGGGCCTTTCCCTGGTGCTCTCTTGTGGTCCAGGCAGGAAAACCTGAGCATTTCTGAGCATTTCAAGCCGGGCTAGATTTTGAAAATGAGTTTCTGGGTACCAGTAGAGAAAAGAGAAGGAAGACAGAGAGGCTTGATATTGTTACGGCTCCTGAACTGATCTAAAGATTCAACACAATCCCTGCTAATACATCAGCTTGGTTCTTTGCAGAATCAAACAAGCTGATCCTAAAATTCATTTGTAAATATGAGGGACCCCAAATAGGTTTAAAGATCCTGAAAGGAACAAAGTTAGAAAACTTCACTTTCCACTTTCAAAACTTATCACAAAGCTACCACAATCCAGAGGGCATGGTACTGGCCTAAGAAAAGACCCACAGACTAATGGGATAGGAAGGAGAGTTTCAGGCTGGGGGCTCCAGTGGACAGACAGTGGAGAAGTGGAGCTCTGAGGGCAGGTTAGTGCACAGGGGTCACAGACACAGGCACACGAGGGACCTCATCAAAGCTGAGACTGCCTTGTAAAAGGAGACACCAGGTGGGGACAGAGCCCACAGCCAGGTGATCAGCACCAAGTCATCCACAAGCACCAGGGTCAGGCTTGTCCCAAAGCTGGGGTGTGGCCAGGCCACTGAGAAGGGCCGAGTGGTGAGAGGCCGGGGCCAGTGTCAGATGCCAAGCCTCTTAAGCAAGAAGAGGGAGGGGATGAGCCAGGAGAGGGGCAGGCAGCTCTGCAAGTCCATCCTGGGTGGCAGGGACATCAGCCTCCTGGCCTGCGCACACCTGACACACCCACGGGCACCAGCTCAGAGTTGCCCTGTTCTTCCTGCTGAGCCTGGGAGGGTCACCCCACATGCTTGGTGCTCTGAAGCTACGTCCACTGTTGGGAGGCCAGCATCCTGGAGGGAGTGGCCAGGTCAGTGCAGCTGGCCTGGACATCTAGGAATTGCCACCGCCTGCAGGGCATTCCTGTCCTCATCCTGCCTGTCCTGCCAGGTCCACGGCCCAGCCCAGCATCTCCACAGACTCCGACAGCATTTGGTGTCCTGAGTGTGATAAGTGGCAGCAGCGCATCTTGTGTGGGACAGAAAATGGCACCGATGGGCATTCACACTGCCAGTCCTCTGGATGGGCAGGGGAGAGGCAGACCAGAGCTAAAATTAGAAAGAAAAGGTAAAAGAAGAAAAGGAGAAAGAACCAGGTGGAGATGGAGTGTGTGTGGGAGGCAGAGAGGCCCGCCTTGGGCCTGAGAGGCAGCCTCTGCCCCTTCTGCCCCATCGTCCACTTCCAGTGTGCCCGCCTGCTCCAGACCCCAGCCCAGGACAGCGAGCTCCCAATACTGACTGGGAAACCCACTAAACCCAGCAGAATGCTCAGAGGAGAGATGATGAGGTGTGAGGCCGTAGCCCTGTCAGTGGATTAACTCACATAAATGGGTCAACTGGGTGGTAACTGTAGCAGGTGAGGTGCGGCAGGGGAAGTAGGTCACCAGGGGTGTGCCTTTGGGGGTGACATTGTGTCCCTGGAACCTCACTCTCTGTCCTGGTTGTCATGATTTGTCCCTCCACCACCTCCTGCCATGGTTTCCCTCCCGTCCCAGCCCAGAGCCGTGGAGCCCACTGACTGGACTGAGTCTCTGTAGCCATGAGCCAAAGTAAACTTTTCCTCCTTTAAGTTGTTTGTGCTGGGACTTTGGGTTACAGTGACAAAAATGTGACTAACCCTGAGGGAGGCAGAACCCTGAGTCCAACCACATGCTACAGCAGGGGGCCACTATTCCCTGATGGACATGGAGGGCACTGACCTCTCCTAACCAGGGAGAGTAGACTGGGGCCATGGACCCCTTAGTTTTCCTTGCCACCGCCTTGTCCCTCTCTCTGTAGAGTGGGCTGGTGCATCCTTCCTGCACCGTGAGCAGAATGATGAGGGGACGGTTGAAGGGCCTGGGGTGGTAGGGCTGAGTGGGCACAGTCCCCAGGGAAACCCTGTGGACCTTTGGCAGCACCAACAACTCCTCAGACTGGGAGGCCAATGCCTCCTGCTGCAGAAAGCCCCAGGGCAGCAAGATACTGCAGGGGAGACAGAGGGAGCCCAGGACCTAAGGGGCTCTCAAGAGCTGGGGCCTCTGCTCTGGGTTGGCCGAGGGGTCACTGGCCGACCACGCCTAAGTGGCAACCAGCCATCGGGAAGTCATGCAACTCTAGAAACAGCCATTCGTGAACTTATGTATTCATGAGAAACTTCCCATTCTTGGTTTGGGGGTGTAGCTCCGTGGGAGAGCGTGGGCCTGGATGCACAAGGTCCTGAGTCTGATCCTCAGGTCCAGAAAAACAAACGCATTCTCCTCTCCAGTGCAAGGGATGGGAATGGAGAGTGTCATCAGCCAAAATTGCTGCTCTCACGAAGCTGGTGATCTATCAAGGGAAACACATTCATCAAGAGCAGAGGAAAGGTTCTCAAAGTGGACTGAAAAGTCTTTCAGCCTGAGCAACAGGTCAGCTGGGGCCATGATGGAGAAAGCACCAGTCCCACCTGGGATCTGACCCACTGAGTGCTCCGAGACCATGGGGTGGGGGCTCCCACAGCAGGGGGGTGGTCTCCTGCAGACAAGAACCAGCTACTGGCCTCCCAGTGCAGCTGCTCCCAAGGAAGGGTCCCGAGGATCTGTTCTGTAGGTTAGAGTTTATCAGCCCCAATGGCAAGCTCCTGGACAGAGGGAAGGAAAGAGCACAGGAGCTGATCCACTGGAAAACCACTCCAGGCTAGGCCCCCCCCACCACCACAGTACAGGACCATGGCCTCCAGGTGGGCTAGAGGAGGCCAGAAAGAGCCCACCCCAAGCTCTGGGACCATCCCTGCTGGGAAGGTGGGTTGGTGGCCCTACATAGAGGTCAGTGAGCCACCAGGAAGTGCAGAGACTCAGGACTCAGTGAGCACTGTGTCATCAATGGGTTTGTTCATCAAAAATTATCCATTTGGGGGGTGGGGGTGTAGCTGAGCAGCAGAATGTGGGCCTGGCATCCGAAAGGCCCTGGCATGGGCCGGATACTCTCCAGCATGGACCAGGTAGAGGCGGGGTCCATTCCACTCTCCTGCGTGGGGGCTGGAACGGAGACTGTCATCTGACAGAACTGCTGTTCTCGTGGAGTCGACGGTAAGGCAGGGGATGTGCATTTGTCTAATGATCACATGAAGAGATGCACCACCCAGAGACAGAGCTGGCTTCCTGGAAGGATGTGGCACACTGGGAGGAGAACCAGTGCTGGACAGGAGAAGCTTCTCTGCCAAAGGGCCACCGAGGTGCAGGCTGAAGGGCTGGGCTGGTGGGGGGAGGGGTCGGTGTCCCACTTACAGAGGAGCTGGCCAGGACCCTGGAGGAGGACACTAGGGGCAGCAGGTGGGATCCAAGATGGTGGCAGCAAGTGTTCCTGGGCTTCCTTGCAATGGGACTTCTTCTCCTCTTATAGAGCACTTGGACCCATCTGTCCATCCCCCATTGTTATCAACTTGCAGTGTTCACAGAATATAGCAGAAATGACATCTCACACCATTAAGGCTGAGCTTAGAAGCCGTGGCCAATTCTATGTCCTCCCTCCTGGAACCCTGAGCCCACCCTGCTGCGAAGAAACTGAGGGTCAGTGAGGAAGGCCCAGCCACTCCAGTCACCCTGGCTGAGGATGGGCACATGAGCAAGCCCACCTGGGATCGAACACCCCAGCTGGCCCACTGACTGGCTGCCCGTGGTAGTGGACCCAGCTACACAGCAAGAGCCCTAGGAGTTATTTTTACCCATTTTCCTCCCTCCCAGGCATGTCTAGTCATTTCTGACGATTAGTGGGCCCCGTCAATGCTCCTCAGACAAGAGCAGACAAGCCATCCAGCTGACCCCAGCCCCAACGGCCAGACTTCAGAATTGTGAGCCAATCTGTCACTTAGGTCACCATGTCTGGACTTATAGAGCAGCAGACAGGTGCTGTAAGTGGGAAGTCCAGGGACTGCAGGAAAAGCCACGTGGCTGAGCTTAGAGATAGACTCAGATTAGTCATGGGAGACAGGAGAGCGCAAACTAAAGATGGTCCATGCCAGACCTGGGTCTGCAGGCCAGGTTAGGAAATCCATCTTTCTTCTAAATGATGCTGAAGGATACGGGCTTAGAAAAAGTCACTCTGGCTGAAGTGAGGGAGCAGACAGCAGCAGAGGAGGGTTGGAGAAACAGGAGAGCTTCCCATCACGCAGGAGAGGAAGCCAGCAGCTTTGGCCAGGCAGTGAGCTGGGGGGTCAGGGCAACAGAGAGGGAGACGTGGGGCGAGGGGAGGGATTTGTCATCACAGGAAAAGGGC